GCCTTCTGCAGGAATATGGGACCAGAATAGGGAAGACGCCCGTGTACGACCTTCTCAAAGCCGAGGGCCAAGCCCACCAGCCTAATTTCACCTTCCGGGTCACCGTTGGCAACACCAGCTGCACTGGTGAGGAAGGCTTGGGCAGCCTGGCTGGGGTGTGCATTCGTAGGCTTTTCTTCTTAGAGTTTATCCAGTTCTCTTCTCCAAGGCCACTGAGGGATGGAGACATTTCAGGGGAGAATCCACTGGTTGGATTGTGAGAACTGGGCTTTGAGGAGGTGTGGGGTAGGACTTGGTGTTAGAGGAGAGAGCGGGACTGCCACAATCATCTGACAGATCCTCATCATCCTTGAAATAGTAGGAGATAAACTTCAGTAAGGATTTGGGGAAGGGAATGCTGGTTCTGACCAAATTCCCATTTCATCTTCTCATTCTAATTTAGTAATGTAGATGGTAGTATCATGTGTTGAATATGAGGAAAATGAGTCAGAGAGATCCAATGACTGCTGCAAGGTCATATGGCTAGTAAGTGGCAGAGCCAGGCTTTTGACTCAAGAGCCAGGCTTTGACCCACTTTCTCTTTTTTTCCCAGCTGTCTGTACTTATTGAGAGAGGAAAAAAGTGCAGAGAAAGACACTGCCCCCAAGGTGCTTAAGCTCAGCAGTTTTGCTGGGCTGGGATCTAGAGATGGATAAGAAGAGCCCCTCCTTTAAGCAGTTAGTGTAACACCTCCAGTCTTGGGCTGAACCAGGTTGATCAGTTGATTCCTCTATGAGAAGAGAGGCTGTGGGTTGGTGGCTTCTCTTCTGTACTTTCAGTGACTTCCAGTATTTCCCACCCCCTCTCTCAGGTCAGGGCCCCAGCAAGAAGGCAGCCAAGCACAAGGCAGCTGAGGTGGCCCTCAAACACCTCAAAGGGGGGAGCATGCTGGAACCAGTCCTGGAGGACAGCAGGTGAGGGAGGAAAAGCTAATGTATCCTAGAGGCCTTGCCAGGAATGCAGGCCCCCACCCCACTCCCTCTGCCTAGTAGAGCTTTTCCTAAGAGTTTCCTTTGGACCTGACTACAGTGCTTCCAGAGCTTCTCTTGCAGTGAAGGATTAGTGGGGGTGGGGGAGTGGCCAGCCCTATACGACTTGGGTTAGGGAGGGAAAGGGGTAAAGACTGAGCCTGAAGAGAGATGCTACCCAACATGCATTCTCTTTATAGCAAGATGACCTCCTCTCTTCCACATTTAGACTGGAGTGTGTTGCTTCCAGTGTTGCCTCCTTTTCTCAGTCTTTTTGATTCAGACTGATGGCAAACGATCCCAAAGGAAGAGCTGTTGGTTGAGCTGCCTTGTCTTTGGCTCAAATAGGGAAGGGTTCTTTTATGGGATGAGGTCAGGAGGACCTGGGTCCCCCATCCTCCATCCCTGCTACACAAGACTGTGAATCCAAGGCTCCCTTCCCCTCGGGAAGTTCTTTTTCTCCCCTAGACTCTTCACTGCCTGAGAACGTCCCAGTTTTTACTGCTACAGTGGCTGCTACTCCTCTTCTGTCTGCTGTTCCAACCAGGTATCTTGTGTCCCCTGACAGTCTGAGGTGACGGAAGCAGGGGTCCTGACTCCTACCAGCCCTTGGACCTACGCTGGTCAGGGCATGAGGAAGTCTGAGAGTAAACAGGATGGACTAGTTGGGGACCACAGCTTTAAGATTTGTACCAACTAGTAAGCGCTTGGAACAAGATGTAATTTATGATTTGTAAATAACTATAAGGGTGATGTTAAGGGTCTTGCAGGCTCCATTTTTGGGGCTGGCCACTTGGTGGTTCTATGTGTGATGCCATTAGGTGCTTTCCAGGACTAGCCCCTCTCCCACTGTTCTGGTGAATTGGTGCCTAAGTGAACAGAATGGGAATGCAGCCTGGAACAGGAGGGAGGAAGGCTGGCCATCTGGGGAGACAGTTGCCTGCTTGGTGGGAAGTTGGGAGAGATGGTAGTGAAGAAAACCAAAGCAACAGTTAGGACTGGGCTCTTGGGCAACCACAGAAGCAGCCATCTTCCTCAGTTTGAGCCCTGGGCTTTTTTCCTTCAGGAACCCCCCCATGGAGGTGCAACCCCCAGTTTCACCTCAGCAGTCTGAGTGCAACCCCGTTGGTGCTTTGCAGGTGTGCCCCATCATTTTTTATGCATGCCTGTCTTCCTGTGAACCAGGGCCATAAGGGGAGCTGATGTGTTTGTGGGGAAGGCAAGTGGGTGGGGTGGCCCTGTACTAGAAGCTCCCCTCCCCCCCATACCTCCTGTAACTTGCAGCCTGAGGCTCCCAGGGCAGCAGGGTTGAGGGAATGTCAGTATGTATACCAGGGAGTCTTCTTACTCAACCTTGTACATTACTGTTTCTCCTCCACCCCTTCTAAGGAGCTGGTGGTGCAGAAAGGCTGGCGGTTACCTGAGTACACAGTGACCCAGGAGTCGGGACCAGCCCACCGCAAAGAGTTTACCATGACCTGTCGAGTGGAGCGTTTCATTGAGATTGGTAACTGGGCAGAAGTGGGATCTTGACCCCCTACCCACAGCACTCCAGCCCAGACCTAGGGCAGCTCCTGGCCATGCTGCACAGCCCAAATTCACATTGCTTCTCAGTCCCAGGCTCAGCTCCCTTCTCCTAGCTTCTGCCCAATTATCCCCTTCTCTTCTGGTCACCTGGATAATGAGGTGCATGAGGAAACCTAGAGCACCACTTTCCAAGTGACGTCCTTTTGAAGTAGCATTCCCTGCTGGAAATGATATTCTGGTACCCTCTTCCCACCTGCAGGCAGTGGTACTTCCAAAAAGCTGGCAAAGCGTAATGCAGCGGCCAAAATGCTGCTTCGAGTGCATACAGTGCCTCTGGATGCGCGGGATGGGACTGAGACAGAGCCTGATGATGATCACTTCTCGATTGTGAGTGGCTCATGTGGCCTAGTGCTTAGGCCTTCCTCCATGCTAGGGCTGGTACTGCAGACTTGCGTCTGTGACTCAGGAGCTAGCCTCTCCAGCCTGAGGCCTGTTCCTGCCTCATTTCCTACCAGATCCAAGGTTTGCGGCCCTCTCAAACTCAGCTTGACTGCCCACCGAGTGAGTGCCCAGGGCCCTGTTGCTTGAGTGAGGAAGGTTGGCCATCTGGTCTAGGGGCTAGTAGTTAGTAGGGTCCATATAGGGCTTGCCTGGGGGAGGCAAACTGGAAGAAATATTCTGAGCTTTTCTCTCCTTGGATTTTGAATGTCCCACAGTCCTTGGCGGCATCATTCTCATTATCCCCATCTTGTCAGGGTGTGGGCTCCCGCCTGGATGGACTCCGGAACAGGGGCCCAGGCTGCACCTGGGATTCTCTACGCAATTCCGTGGGAGAGAAGATCCTGTCCCTTCGCAACTGCTCTCTGGGCTCCCTTGGTGCCCTGGGCCCTGCCTGCTGCGGTGTCCTCAGTGAGCTTTCTGAGGAGCAGGCCTTCCATGTCAGCTACTTGGATATTGGTATGGCTGCTTGGGGGTTGGGTGGGGAGGGCCACCGGACCAGAGCAAACACAGTTGGGTATAAGGGAGTAGGGGGGAGATGAAGAGCATGGAAATGCATACCACGTGGCGCAGCCTTCCCCCCAACACTTCCTCCCGCCTCTCTCTTGGCCTGCAGAAGAGTTAAGCCTAAGTGGGCTCTGCCAGTGCCTGGTAGAACTGTCCACACAACCGGCCACTGTGTGTCATGGCTCTGCAACCACCCGGGAGGCTGCCCGTGTCGAGGCTGCTCACCATGCCCTACAGTATCTCAAGATCATGGCAGGCAGCAAGTGAAGCTCCAGCTGGACTCACAGACGTGTGCCCTTTGTCCTGTTTCTCCTGCCCCTGGCCCACGCATCTGTATTCAGCTCTGGTGCCCTTTGGAGGTGCCCTCTCTACCTCTGACACAGACTGCCTGCCTTGAGGCTGAG